GCATTTGTTTCTCTGCCAGCCCAAAGTCCACAAGCAAGTACTTCTTATTCCTTCTGTCATAGAGGAAGTTATTCAATTTCACGTCTCGATGTATAATAAATGTATAATGTATAAGACAGTTCCTCCCCTCCCTCCCCCTCCCTCCCTCCCTCCCTCCCTCCCTCCCCTCCCTCCTCCCCTCCTCCCTCCCTCCCCTCCCCTCCCCTTCCCTCCCCTCCCTCCCTCCCCTCCCCTCCCCCTCCCCCCCCTCCCCCTCAAGATTCCCTTCCTCCTCCCTCCCTACCTCCGCCGCCGCCCCCTCCCATCCTCCCATCCTCACCTACGGTCCAACTGTCGGGCGGCATGATCGACTCGCCGTTAGTGCTACCGGCGGCATCAGATGCAGTGATGAGGCGGGTCGGCTAAATTTCTCTGAGGCGGGCTGCAGGATAGAATAAAAATGTAACGTTGGTAACGGACAAGCGAAGAGCCACAGCATGGCGTGGGGAAATCGGACGGGGCTGGCGGTGGCGGGGCTGGCAGTGCTCATGGTGGGCTTGACGTGCCTGGTGGTGGGGCGAGGGACGGAGAAGGCAGTGCTAGCACAGAAAGAGGACATGAGGAACAAGCTCATCGATAAGTTAGACGCCATCTTATTGAAGAGGGAGGGCGACGGCGATTCGCCTCAAGCTGCTCAGCTTCACAGAGCCGAGGCAGAGGCATCCTCCTCCGCCTTGAAGCTCTCCAAGCATCAACTGCAAGTCAACTCCTGCAAGGATGGAGGGCCATGCGACGTGAACCAGATGCCCGTCTTGAAGTATGATCCTGCTTCCGGCAACTGGGATTATGAAAGTGCAGGCAACCCAGAATTTGTTTGGCAGCAGCTAATGCAAGAAGCGAAGAAGAGAGATGGAAGTTTGAAGAACAAGAAACCTGCACTATCCATGGAACCTGCCAGGTTCTCAGAGCTTGCCCAGGTGTCGTCCAAGTCATCAGACAAGTCGGAGAGGTTGAAGTTGCAGGATGAGCTGAAGATGCTGCTGGAAGAGAAGCTGAGGAAAGAAGGCAAAGCGGCGAGTTCCTTGACACAGTCAGATGCTACTGTTGGTGGCAACGATGACACCTCTGACTCAAGCGATGGTAGAGATGCGATCATTAGCTCGATCTCTAGTCTGAACTCCGAGATTGAGCGTGGGGAGCATTTGGGCAAGCACGGGACGGAGAAGGACGAAGCTCAAATGAGGAGTCTGTATGACAAGTTGGGCAAGCACTTGCATGTGGGATCTATCTGCAGGAGGAGGCATCTTGCTCAGAGCGGGTTGCACGTCCTGCGGTACTCGTCCCTTGCAAGCTGCGAGAGGCAGATTCGGTACAGGACGAGCCGGGCAAGGAAGATCATCAAGGCTGGTCTGAATCGGTTGGCTCGCAGAGATGCTGCTCACCTCTTCGGGGGGGGCATGCAGGAGGGATATCGAGGGTTGCAGGCCAAGAAGGACAAACTCTCAACGGAGCTCACTGCTATGGAGCGCGAGCACAGCAAGTTGCAAGCGGAGCTTGCTCGCCAAAAAGAGCGAATCACTCAGTTGTCCTCCAAGACATCTTCTCATCATGAAAGCAATTCCCCTCCTGTGCCCAACAAAAGGAACATCTCTCCTCCTGTGCCTGCGGGCCTTCCTCCCAATTATCACGGAAAGCTCTTGAGATCTGCTGACACTGACACCCCTAACAGTGTTCCTCCTGGATTGGCGTAGAGAGATGAAGCTTCCTCTCTGCTCTACATCATTCTCCTTTTTTTTTTTGATAACGATTATAAGCTTCTGTTTCGCGACTCTTGCACCCTGATCACCCACATTCAGCAAACGAGTCCTGGGCAGCAGTGGGTTTCAGAAAGATTGGGGGTTCAGCGATAGATGGAAAAGACTCGGAGGAGTCCCGGGGTATCTCCTGGCATTTATTCCATATCTAGCACAGCTACACACCGAGGAACTGCTGGGATAGTTCAGATCTCCGAGCAAGGAAGTCTCACAGACGTTGAGTTCTTGACTTTTGTGCCTGAGCCGCTACTGGCAGATCCGTGAGAAAAAGGTTCCATGGAAAATAGTTGGATGAGAACAGGACGATGAGAACGCTCCCGAATCCTACGATCCTGCTTCTGCATCCGCATCGGTGATGCTTGCCTGAGATTCCTCGATCCCCGCCTGAGCCATCAACTCCCCGATGGACTTCTCCAGGTCGTCGATGCGAGATCCCATGTCGTCAACTGCGCGAAACGTATTGGTATTGATCACAACAAGAGGTCCCCATACTTCTTGAAATGATGGCATCAGACATGTCTTGGAATTTCTGTTGCTGCAAGAGACTTGTCAGCTGGAAAATACAGTCGATGCGATTCAGACACTGAAGTACCATCTGCTGAAGGAGGTTCTGTACGAAAACAGTGAGATCCTGTGTGTTCTGGGGAATGTCTTTCTCTTCCGCCGACATCGCTCCTGTGGTTCAACTAGGATCAGTTTCTCGTGGTCCCATCTCTTACTGTTGTGACTGAGCTCTGGCATAAATCTTACAGTTTCCATCACAAGAAGGGGAGCCTTCAGTCAAAGCTACCCCCTGCTTTTCCACAAGTCCACGTACTAAGATTCAATCAAGATTTCTCGTAATTCATAGAACAAAGTGAAATCTTTCTCAAAATTCTGTTTAAGTGCGAATGGCTAACTTTCTTCTTGCTATGTGCTGCTCACTTCTATCGTTTCAAGTCAAGGACAAATCGGGAAACACTCCTTGCTATGTTTACTTCTCAGATGCGCTCATGTCAAAATCGACTTCATCTGGTACATGTTACCAATCTTCTACTTCCTATGACGGTGGTATCCTCCTCTTGCACTCCTCGCTTCCTTCTCTTCTACCATCAGAAGTCAATCCTCCCTTCTTGTTCCTCCTTCTCTTTCTCTCCCTCCCTCCCTCCCTCCCTCCCTCCCTCATCCGTTCCCTAGTTTCCCGCCATGACCTGGCGCGGTATTTCAAATAGTACCCACCCCATCAAACCCCAATTTCCTTGGATCATCACCCCGATTATACTATGAAAGTACCCCCTAGATTCCCATCTAAATGAAATTTTGCATGACCCCACCTACCTCCCAGATAATTGAGGAAAGTTGGAAACTTGGTAGGTAAAACTTTCACCAAGTCAAAGTTTTGGAATTTTCGCGTCTCTTCCATGCAGGCGATGCAGAACTGGGGCGAAAGGAGAGGAGGAGGAGGAGGAGGAGGAAGAGAAGGCAGGTAGAGGATCAGGACCTCCATACGCAAAGATCTGATCCGTCCTAACTTGGAGAAGCCCAAGCCATCCATCAAGCAATATCGGACATCAGACATCGAAGGGGTTCCCAAGCCCAACAGTCTGTACTGAGTAGTAGCGCAAGTGCTCACTTGGGGTAGAGGAGGCAGACGGCAATCAAGGCAGGAGGAAGAGAACATGATGCAGTCGCAGCTCGTGAGCTCTTCAGACCTTCTTGGCAGCGCACCCATGCCAAAGGACGACGATTTCCAGAAGTTGGCAGGCATCGGAGTAGAGCTCTACAAGACGGACGAGACCAGCCCTCTCATCGTCCGCTCGGTCTACCCTGAGAGCCCAGCACAACTTGAGGGTATCGAGGCAGGTGACGTCATTGACTTCCTGGACGGGCTCGACTCGTCGATCCTCTCGGTCCCCGACGCTGCCTCCATGCTCTTCGGGCCGCAGCAGACCAGCGTGACGCTGCAAGTCCGACCGCAAGGGCAGGAGCCAGGGAGGATCGTGAACGTGACGAGGATGGCAGAGAAGAGCAGCAAGTATGACTTCCATCGGAAGCGACGCCCGGTCCCTTCCTCCCAGGGACTGTCAAGCTTTCCCCCGTCCTTGATGCAGAAACTCCATGCGGATGATGTGAAAGAGTACATGAAGGTGAAGCCTGAGGCCTGGATGTGCGTCCAAGACCTCTGCGAAGGCAGAGAAGTCGGCGACCACGTGCTCGCCCGGGCCCTCGGGCCTGCGAGCGACCAGAGCTTGTTGATGTGGAACAGCGTGAAGATGGTTGTTGTTGCTCGAGCTGTCTTGTCGGTCTGATGTCAAACTCAGGTGGAGGAGGTTGTCAAACAGCGTCGAGAAGCGCTCGAGACGATCGAGAACCTCCGACGTCAGCAGGCGAGGCGAGTGGACCAGCAGGAGGTGGCAAGGCTGCAGGCAGAGCTGAATGAGCTGGCGGGCATGCGGGAGTTGTACTTCAAGACCAAGTTGCAGGTGATGCGGGTTGACGTGCGTGATGAGACTGTGAATGATCGATCCCTAAGCTTGAGATGCGAGACAAGCAGCTCGAAGACCAGCAGGGGCTGGTCAAGAAAGACGCGGAGAAGCAAGGAGCATCTGCCAAGGAGGGCACACCGGTCTCTCCCCCTATCCTGACTTCTCCTCCTCCTCCTCCTCCTCCCCCCCCCCACCCTAGTGATTCCGCTTAAGGTTCCCCCCCCCCCCTATGA